AAGTAAGCCCAGCAGTCTCTTTCTTCTGTCCCAAACCTGCCTTTCACATACTGCTACCATAAGTTAAAAGTAACTCAGAATTTTGCCCCTTTCCCCCAGGAAATATTTCAAATTGTCTCCCTCAAATGTTCAATGAATAAATCCATATAGCTGTATCATGCAGGCACATCATGATCTTTTTTAGCCCTTTCCCACTCAATATTACTAAAAAAGCATTAGCAATAGACCCAAAATGGAAATATAATTGAGTTTTTGTTACTGATATTGATACTCTTTTGAGTCTATACCAGTTGTTACAAAGGCAGACCTGTGACCAAAGGAAATGATATGTTAACCAATGTTTCTATAAATTAGGCAGCAAAACCATACACTCAACTAATATTTTTAAATTGCTGAATTATGCTACAGAATACCCAATAATGATGCAAGATCTTTAGAAACAGTTGGCTGTGTTTTGTTTTGCTCTGCTTTTTAAAGGCATAATTTACATACAATAAAATGGCAAAGACCTTACGTGCTCAGTTTCATGAATTTTGACAATGGTATGCACCTATGTAACTACCACACCATTTAAGTTACGGATTTTATCACTCCGAGAAAGAGTCCTTCTTCCCTTTCCTGTCAAATCTCCTCCTACCCCCAAGGCAACTTTCTGACCTGTGTCATCATAGTACTGTATAGTTTCGTGCCTTCTTATGCTTCATGTAAATGGAACCATCACAGTATCTATTTCTGGTCTGGCTTCTTTAGCTTAGCATAATGTTTTGAGATTCATCCATGTTATTGAATATACCAGTAGTTCCTTTGCTAAGTAGTCCATTGTATAAATACACTAAATTTGTCCATTCATCCATTGAGTTGTTTCCAGTTTTGGGCGCTTCTAAATACGCTGCTATGAACATTCTTGTACAAGTCTTTGTGTGAACATATGTTTTCATTTATATCAGGTAACTAGTAGTAGAATAGCTGAGTATACTTAATTTTATAAGAAACTGCCAAATGCTTCTCCAAAATGGTTGCACTAGCTATATTTCTAGTGGAAAATATTTCTTATTTTCCCTAGTTAACATTTAATATTCTGAAGCAATAACTCAGAATAGATATTGTCTGAAATAATCATTCCTCTTCTAAAGTTCCCTGACAATCAGTTAACAGAAGAATAGCCTAGGTATTGGGGAAATAGGACTTGACATAGAGTAGTTTCTGTAGCTCTTATTGTCTGTCAAACAGTCAAGGTTCTATTATAAATTCCCATGTATTTTTGAAGGTCAACAGAAAGTTGAGATTTCTGTTCTTATAGCTACACCTTGAAAAACATTCCTAGTACAAACATATAAAATGTGAGATAAAACATATTTAAATGTTAAAAAATACATAGTTGAACCGATAAGAATATTTCTTAAAGGAGGAAAATGACTAAAAATTCAAAACCCAGACTGGAAGAAATAGCAAACAAACTGGCCAGTGCAAGAGTGTCTACCAATTCCTGGTGGCCTGGAGTCTCAGTGTCACTGGGCCATAGTGGGGGACAGAAGCCAAAGCATGTCACAGGGTCTTTAAAAGGTGACTAAAAGGAAAAAGCTACCATGAAAATTCATTTAGAGGTATTTGTGTGAACACGTCTTTATTTCTCTTCTGAAAATTCCTAGGAGTGGAAATGTTGGGTGATACAGTCATTATATGTTTAACTTAAAGAAAATGGAGATCTGTTTTCCAAAGTGGTTGTATTGTACATTCCCACTGCGTGTGAGAGTTATAGCTCATAGCAGCATTATTCAAAACAGCAAAAATTAGAAATGACCCACATGTTGCTGTCTGAGAGTGAATCAATTGTAGAATATTTATTCAAATGATACCACAAACAATCAACTACAGCAACATAACAAAAATATATTAAGCAAAAAAACTCCCCAAAACCAAACACACACTCACAGAAACAAACCAAGTCATAGATGAATACATACAGCATATTCCCCATATATGTTTACATTTCTAAAGTATTCTAAGTAAAGCAATGCTATTTAGGAACATATACATTTTGGAAAGACTCTAAGATAAAGCAAAAGGGTGATAAACAGAATTCATGATAGTGGGTAACCTCTGGGAAAGAAGGAGTGTGGAGGGACTGGAAGGCTAGGGTGCCTCAAAGGTGTTATAATATCCTGTTTCTTAATCTGTTATATACATGGTTTTAATTTTTATTATCCTTTAAGTGGCACAATACATTCGTATATGCTTATATGTGACTTGTTATAAAATTTAAAAATGAAAATATAGTTCATGTTTCTTTGCTTTTCTTTAAAAAGAAAAAATAACGGACTTGGGCATTTGTCCTATACTGTAATGTATTTTCCTAATTCTATTTAGCATTCTATATACTTACTCTGAGAGACTGCAGTCTTAGTAGTGGAGTAATTCTGGAATGCATTTCTATCTCTGGGAGTGAGAATTTAGATGTCTAATTCCCAGCAATATTAATGGCAGTAGTTAAATTCATAGATCCTTGTTTATGGTGATGAGATTATAGCCCATCTGGTAACAAAAATGACTGAGTAGAATTCATTTATTTCTTAAAATTATACCAGGGAAGGATATGTCCTCTACTTATTTTCCAATTGAATAATTTAAAACTAAGGTTTAAAAACCATCATAAAATTACATCATAGCTAAATGTAAAGTATATATCTATCATCAAATCTAAAAAGCCCAGTTGGTCACTTATTGGATAAGACTGCAATATTGACAGTAAAAATTTATCTATCTCCCTTCTAGGTCATAGCATAAGAATATAAAATTAAAAAGTTGAAAATTTCATAAGATGAAAAATTCCAGTAAGGAAAATGGAAAGATGGCAAGAAATAAGTTTTTCATGTATTTTAGTAATATAAAAAAAGCTAGTGTTCCATGAGATGTGCATTTCTATCTCCTTCTTGGGACATTGTTATTGAAGAAAATGTTTCAAAAATTAGTTACTATTTGATTACAACTTTGTTTATAGATATATTATAAATTTGTGTATTTGAGTAAATCACCCCCCCCCC